ACGGCGGGACGCAAGGTCAGTTAGGCCAAAATTTCAGCGTCTTATATTATTGCTACTGATATTACGTTAGTAGAAAATAATGTGTGAATATAGCCAATGCTTTCGTTGTACACCAAGAAACAATTACTTGCTTTTTATTTAGGCACAAAAAGACCTCGAAGGTGGGCGAGAGAACTTTATCGGAGTCCTCGATATCTACGGATTCGAAACCTTCGACGTCAACAGTTTTGAACAGTTCTGCATTAATTATGCCAATGAGAAGCTGCAACAGAGGTTTGTCTTTGTAAGTATCCTGGAAAACACAACTTTCACTAATGGCCTTTTTCACTTGTCCTGTGGGTTGTTTATTTGTACTTAGAAATGTTGCAATCTCTGAGAAGTACGGAAAAATATTGGGGTTATTTGTATCGATAAAGTTCTGCCAGTTAACATAAGTGATCCGGTGCTACGACGTGGAATTCAGCTGTTTCCTAACTGCACTAATGAAAATATGAGAAATTATGGCAGGTACATTCTGAATAATTGGAGTACTCACTGAAACACAGCGTACGTTTTTTCTCAGATCACTATGATTACTACACTCGAGTCTCATCAAGGCGAGAACACGACAAAAAATACAGAGATTCGTCGTGTTTGACTGCTTTCTGTCGCCATGCTTCGAGTCTACTTGAACCTGTACCGCAAGTAACGTTACTGTTTATTAATTTGGAAGTGGTCCTATTCAAGAATAGCCTGTACACTATTTGAATGCAAGTGTGCGTCTAAAGATGCACCTGAGAAAAATAAGGATCGTTAGGAGTTTACCATGTTGGGCCAAGTCAGATGATGTGGCCTCTATCGACAACTCATGGTATCATGTCAAAGTAATTTTGCTCTTTATACGTTTTTTATTAGTATTGTGGTTCTCGGAGGAGTTCACACAAGACCAATAACCGTTAATTACTTTACCTTGAGTGGCCGAAGGTGTTGACTCTACAGTTTATAATTTTTGTAAATTGTTTATTAGCTGAATCGATTAGTTGTTAACAGCAAACTATCCACTCTTAAAAATGTATATCTTCAATAGTCCTTTTGAACTTTTACTGCCTAAGGTTCTGTCGGGCAGTATTCATTCAGCAAACTAAATTATTGTGGTCTAAATAAATACCATTGGTTGTAGAAGAAAAATATTTATTCACCCCACCTTGTATATCCCGATGGTATTTTGGGGTTGGGGTTACGCTCGCCGCTATAGTTAACGTTGTACATATGTATACTTGAAGGGTTACACGCAAGGAATGCCCTTCAGCACCCTATCAGTATAAAGTAACCAAATAGATTGTACAGTCAATATGAAGTTGAGGACAGTTAACATAACACCCATTCGGAAGAAGCAGAAGCGGTCACTGGAACAAGAGGTTTATTGTCCTGACGTTTCGGATTCCCTCGGGAATCTTTAATCATAGGTAATAGAAGAACAGTCTGAGACATGTGCAGATAGGGTCACACATTTG